TATCCACTAGTAGAAATAATGAAATATCTAACATTTGACATACTCTGGTCGCAGACTGGTTACCTGATACCAAACTAATACGCGAAGCCTTTCGACAATACGGCCTTGACAGAAAGCCTATGTACAGTGGATCTAGTAAGGATCTCCAGACGTTACTAGATGGCGTTGAGCCTCAGTTGAGTCCATGTCAAATTCAAGGGGAGGTCAGTACCGAGCTGGGCCCGATGGGGAGGTGGGCGGTGGGGGGGGGGGGCGGTTGGCGAGGTCACGGTGCGGGTGACCTGTCAAACAGCCCGGCGCGGTGGAGCACTGCCGTAGGCAAATGGCGCACTCCAGTGTTGTTCCATATCGCGGTGGTGGGCCGGGCGGCCGGTTAGCTTGGCTGCTTGGAGGAAAAGATAATGAGGCATGGGTTTGCTGTGGCCGGTTCATCTACGGTCAACTATGATGAACCCAAAGTAATGCAAATATGATGTTGGTAATGCAGCTGGCAATGGAATGCTAGCGAATGCTCCGAGCGCCCGAAGGATTAAGATTATTTATGTCTCCTGAAATTTTCATTGAATATAATTCAAGCACTAGAAATATCGTATAGTTCGCCAATTTTTTTGACCGGCTGGCGTTTCTTGCGTAGAGCGCCCTTGGGCAAATAATTATCACGCAGGTGATTTATTTTTGCTGGTAAGATTTAAGGTCAAATCAAGTCGGTGACAGGAGATGAGGAAAAGCGGACGAATGCCACATTTTTGTGCATAAAGTCTCGATTGAAAAAAGCTTAAAGTTATTATACGTGTAAGCTAAAAAACATAAGATCAGTTAATAAAAATATTTGACCCGAAATTGGCCTCTGTTTTCTCTGACCATGATTGCGTGTAAGACACAGGTCCAACCGGCTTCAACCCGACCCAACACGGCTCGGCTCCCCCTTTTTAATATAAATTTGGCCCGAACCTTTTGAATGAAAGGAATCATAAGGAAAGAGTCCCCGCTAAGCTGAGCTTGTTGCGTTGACCCTACCCTCTACCCTCCGATCAAGCAATTTCTGGTCTATGGCAGAATTTAGAGTCCAAAGTTTAACGTGCGCACATAGCCGCGCACGGCCGATCCCCTCACTGACTTCGTCTGGCAGCGGCCTGCCACCAACCACAACCATACCCGTCAGGAGCTCAAAAAACGTCAAGCACACGTCGCGTTTCGAACCCGGACTTTTGCAGCCGGGACGTGCGCTCTCACCACACGGAGTCCAACGCCCTACCGACCGAGCTACCGGGACGGACATTTACCTAGGGGCTTCGCCTCGTGACAATGACAGACGTCAGACACTTTGGCCTAACTATAGCCGTAGCACTGAGCAAGCTGCGCGGGGCGACAGGTGCTCGTAGCGTTTAGGTTGGGTAACCTGTGAGCTGAACGCGATGTCGTGAGTTCGAGCCCCACTCCCGGGTCCATGGTTTTATCTGGACACGAACCAAAACCTTTGCTTCTACTGCAACACAGACAAGCACGATGACATCTTTCGCCAACATCTTTCCCCAAAATCCTCTAAAAAAAAGTCAAAATTATCGCTTATAAATGTCTAGCTAAGTTTCATTTTTAGAGAAAATATTTTTGGTCATTTTCCGGAGCCATTTTAACTCTTTCTTTTCGGATTCTATTCGACCCGATAAAACTCATCAAAACTGAACGTGCCAAATGAAAAAATACCCAACTCAAATAACATTTTAGAAAAGCCTAAGACTGACATCATGCAACTATCGGCTGAATAGTTGCATGCTATGAATACGTCCTAGATTTCAATTATCATTGTTCAAGATTTTGGCTGGAACTGGCGCTGCCTCTCGCTTGTCCGTTTGTTTGAGATAATGATTCCCTTCAGTCGCATTCTTGCTGGTTCCACATGAACAGGATACCACCATACCGGAGTGAACGCACCCGCAACCATCATCCCCTCCCCTCAGCCTCGGCGCAGTGGCGGGCGGCCCTGGGCGGCCCACTCCCGGCGCTACGCACGCCCCATGCGCCGTGATTACCGCGTCACTCCCCCTCCCTCCTTCCCCCACAATGACCGGTGACCTCACTTCCCTCGGGATTTGGACTCGCCCTACCCCGACCGTAGCGCCACGTGGTGGCTCTGGAGATCTTAAATAGACCCACTGTACGGCCTTGACAGAAAGGATCTTCGCAAAAAGATGGTCGCTTTTCCAGGCTCAAGCTGCCGCAATCGGTTACGGTATGATCATGAAGCGATTGGTAGCTGAGAATCCTTGCGTGGTTTGCTCGAGGTTAAGGTATATTATAAGTTTATTTTCACTAAATAAATATTTTACCATGCTTACACCATCAACAATCGATTTCCAGAAGAAGGAACATGCATAACAAAATTTATTCGTTCCAGCGAGCCATTTTGTTTTATCATTTCCGAAACCGCTTAGGGACAACTGCTGCTGAGTGGTTTTGTTACTTCGGTTTCTTGGTGTAGAAAAATGCAGTGTTGAAACGATATTCACACAGATTACACATATCTATTGTCCAGTAATCAGCCGCCACATCAAAAATTTACCGCGCCCTGCCCTCTGCCGTGGCTCTGACTGCCATTTCCGCAGTCAGGAGACTGTCATACCACACTACCCCAGTCAGAAGTCCTGACTGGTCCCCGAGCGCACAGAGAAGACCTGTGTGCTGGAGCGCCGGTACAGACCGGCCTCGGTAACCCTTCTCGCCTGCTTAGCACTGTGTGTATGTGTAATTTGACAAATATATTACTGAGCATAAAAATACCCGTAAAACCCTCCTCCTCTTGCTGCAGATGCACGCGTCCCCGCTGCTCTCGCTGCTCGCTGAGGTGTTCTCCTGGCTGCCGGTGGGCACGGTGATCGACAACCGCGTGCTGGTGGTACACGGAGGAGTCACCTCTCAGCTGGACATCGGATGGCTGCAGGGCGTCGACAGACATCTGGTGAGTACACAACACACCCCCTTGCGCACCCTGGCGACAGCGAGGGGAGGTACTGACGTGTGTGGGTGGAGGGCAATGATGACCATTGTGGTTCACAAATTGTGTTCTTTAAAATGCACGATGAGATAATGCTGATCAAAGATTATGTACGTACACCTGTCCCTTGAATTAAGTAATATGCCCAAGTCACTAACGTTATTTATTCATTGATTCATTTATGTTTTTATTCATTTGTTTCTTTAGGCATTCTAGCATATTGCCTTTCTTTTCCTCCCCCTCGGCAATAAATGTGTGTTATAAACTCCTCACGAAAACCTATATGGTGGAAGCCATTATGTTTGCCGACAAGCTAGTATTGGCCGCCCCAGGCAGATCGCGACAGATGCTTGGCTTACTCGACGGCAGAAGGACGCAGCGTCACCAGGACGCGCTAGTGGCATGGTGCAAACACATATGTAAAATACAATAAAGATTGCCACTGAGGACAGGTACTACAATGCTTGCTGCGTCCTAGGCGAACTTAACCTAAATAAAATAGCAATATTGAAATAACAGCGAGGAGAAACAAAGAGAAAATCAGTATTACAGTGTACGTTTATTCCATCTTTACACACTCTTGATCAGACCGTGGATGTAATGCACAAAGTCCCTTCCTATTTCCTTGTGTCGCTAACGTCAGTGCTAGGGTATCAGCTACAGCACGTAAGCCACAGCAAACTGACAATAGCTCCAAACAACTCCTTCACAGATTCACAGAAACCCGAAATATCTCCAGAGCCCGAGAGAGCGTCACGTAAACAACGGACCACCGAGGATGATTGTTTATCAGAGACCATACTACTGCAGAGCTTTCGAGGAGAAAATTGGAAACGGAATTTGATCTGTACCGTAGCAGCCAACTTCGGAAACGGAGAGCAAGGCAGTGAGATGAAGTAATGCCAGAGTCCGCCATATCTTGAATGGAAGGGAACTGGGTGCTGTTTCAGCAGCATTTGTATAAGAATAATAACGCATGGCTTTCCCTTTTCAGTATACTTCCGTTCTTCGGATGCCCGATCAAATGCATCGAGAAAGCCCAACGGAACTTCTGCGTCGTAACTACGAATGGAAACAGGTAGGTGTGCCAACCAGCGTGACGGAAAATGGCTGTTAATCGTCTGAGTTGTTCTTCCCCGCGCTGCATTAGCCATTTATTGTTCAGTTGTTCCCCGATCGCTGCATTAGCTGCATCACTGATCAGTGACCATAGCATATGCCTTCTTTTTCTCGGCACCACTTACCATGCCTGACAAATCCATTAAGCTTTAGAAGTACGCCTAAAGTACTTATAGTACTTACATATGACTGTGTGTTTCAATCTTGGGCCGGCGATGCTTTCAAGTCATTTGGCCGTATTACACCCATCCTCATTGGAACCCAGGATTATTGTAGGCATAAAGCTTCGTTCGTATGTATCCCGGGCAAACCATTGCACGAATGCATCATTCAGCATCAACATTTTATTCCTGGACTAGTTTGACTTCTTTTGTGCCTCCGGAAACAAATATAGTCAGGAGTCCCCTCGCTGATTTTATGGTATGGGCCTATTTTAGTCCTTGTTTATAGGCTCAGTCAAATATCTCGCGAATTTGTGAGCATCCCCTACGAAAATTGATACGATGTCATGAATGGCCTGTTAAGGAAATTTATAACGGAAGAGCTGTACTTCCAAACTGCCAGCTTTACGATACGAGCCTACGACTCCCTATCCTGTGACAGCTAAGTGGCCCTTTGATCTGATTGTCCACGAACTTTGGTAGTTGGTACGGCGCTATCTTAATTCGCGGCACGTCTCAAACGAAGCAGACATGCTATGTGGATTTACAGGCTTACAGTGCAATAGTACCACTTGGCGACACCCATCGCAGAGGGCCTAGCTGAGGGCACGTATGTCCTGGACTTTGCTGAAATGAAAGAGGTCTTCATGAAGTTCATTTACCAGCATTGCATCGCATAACATACAAAGTACAAGTCAAGTAGTTGGTGGCTTCTGGATGGGTAATAAGTTGGAAAGAGAATTGCCGCTCTTTTGTAAAGAAGAATAAAAAACGATATAACTATGTTCTATGACATTATATGCTTTCATTTTTCAATGGGACGTTATATGTCATTGTCAATGATCTAGTGGCACTTGTGCCGGGTTCAATAGCGTACTGAACTCATGCTAACATTTTTGGCTAATGTATCTAACTTCTCATGAATGTGGCATGGTTATAACCCGAATACTACCAAAGCATCATGCTATACATATTCTGTGCGCCCCACGTTTCCATTACCCTAACACGCCGGTGAACTTTGTCGCCTGCAGATGCTGGACGTGCTGTGGAGCGACCCGCAGAACAGTCCCGGCTACACCCCCAACACGTTCCGCGGGGGCGGCTGCTACTTCGGCCCGGACGTCACAGCCACGGCGCTGCGCAACAATCACCTCCAGCTGCTGATCCGCTCACACGAGTGCAAGGCGGATGGATACGAATTTACACACGAGGGGAAGGTGAGTGAGACACAATAGCGGGAAGGTGGGACACAACAGCGGGAAGGTGGGACACATGGGACTTATGAAGTATGGTGAGACGCAGACGAGGTTATAAGGAGGTACAACGGCGGGAAGGTGGGATAAAGGATGAATGGTGAGACACATAAGAGACATGATGAGATGGCATGGTCAGATGAAATGCGAGTACTGGAGTCAAAAGAGTCGGTAGACGTATCCAGAGTCTGCGTAGTGTGTATGTATTTACCGTATGTGAAGTAGTTTGCAACGTGAATCGATTCTGGAGCTTTTCAGCAGTAATGCGTTATTCAAAGAAGCTAACTTTCAAATACAGAATGCATCAAAGGTTCTGAATCGGGTACGTCTTCGGTTGGAAGCTCACAATGCTTCTCAATATTCGAATTTGATGGATCTATCGAAATGTTCCAATTCCTAGAAGCTGTTCTTGCTTGCAACGAGCTAGATCACCATCCTAGCACAAAATTAACCAATCTTATCAGAGTGTTTTTGAGTCGGCAGATTCCTTGAAAGCTGATTGGTTGATTCAGACGATCGTTTTATTACCCTGATTGAAAACATGCTCAAGCGGAAACTTACTGGAATCACTACAGCGGTATTGGGCATACAAACCCAATTTTCTTGCACACTTAAAGATCTTCACTCGCTGGCTAGAGCCAATTGAAGCATAATTGATAAGAAAACCGTTAAATTACGTCTCCTACAACGTAACCAAAGTTTCAAGTTCAGCGCAGCTCTAAAGAAGTATGCAAACTATTCTCTTTAAAGCATCTGAAGATGTTCTGTCCTGAACGTAAAACTATGTTCACACTTCACGAGTTGACGTAGTGTTATTACACTCTGTATCCTGTATTCCCATATCGCTTCGAGCTGCTGACATTGCGCTGAGAATCTTTGACTCGCCCACATTTTCCGGCAGTGTTTGACGATATTCTCGGCGTCCAACTACTACGGGCCGGGCTCGAACCGGGGCGCCTACGTGGTGCTGCAGGGACCCGAGCTGAGGCCGCACTTTGTCCAGTTCACCGCTCAGACCAAGACCAAGTACATCTCGATGAGACAGCGTGTCGGAGCTCTGGAGGCGTCTGCGCTAGCCGAGCTCCGAAATAAAATACTGGCCTCCAAACAAGTGTTGATACACGAGTTCAAGAAATGCGATCCTTCTAGGAAAGGTAAGGATCCGTGAGAGAAGAGGATGAGATCGAATGCTTATGCTGTTCACTGTTCAGTTCAAGAGGTATTGTTGGATTGTGGGTTTTATTGAACTACATGCATCTGCTCCATCTGTTAGAATAAAGCTATTTCATCTAAAAATCGTTTTATCCTATCTAACAACGAAGTGAGACTACATAGAATATACGTCTGTGTTGAATAGCTTGCAGCTGAAGCAGCGACCTTCAAAAAGCGAACCTCTGGTAAAAGTTTGGCAACAAAACGTTCGGAGGAGAGGAGATGTTGGAGCTTAGGGGTTTTTCCCCACGTGCTCGGACAAAATCTGCCATTCTCAGCAAGTCCATTCAGCCTAAATTGCGACTGTCGCTTGGCGTACCTATTTTTATCATAATCCGCCCAACAGTGGCAAACTGAGATATGAAATGATTTCATCTCTCGAACTGGCCTTGGCGACCGGATGTATGTCAACTTCAGCATTCCTTAGATAGAAAAGTTTCACCGGGAAAATATAGGAAAAAGCGGTCAGCGGGCCCGGTCCGTGCACAGCTCCGGCGCTGGGTCGATGGCGCGGGCGGCGTGCCTTCGGGCAGCCTTTCATCCTCCGGCTCGTTGGGACTAAGTGCTCTTTGACAGCCTCCTAAGCACAACAGCCGCTCTCAGAGTGGTAACGAAGTGTCGGACGGCGTCCGTCGGACGAGACTGCCGCCACACCGTGGGGCGTAAATGGACTCATTTGGGCGGCACTTCCGACAAAGGCCTGTTGATGCCAACGATGTGAAACACAGGCGAAGAGCGACGAAATATCTTCCAAAAACGGACAACTGCTTGTTTACATGGCTACCTAGCAGTGTTGTGCCTCTATCACTTATCAATCACCGAGGATTGAGCACATGAGTTTGTCCACATTTTTTTAAAAGTTACATGCAACGGCAAGCCTCAAGTGCACAACTTCACAAGTGCTAACTTCTTGCTCAAGTCGCTGACATTTCCAGGTGCTTGTTGGCGTTGATGCTCTTGTATTTAGGAAGGAAAGCAGCTGTGCGGTGACAACATAGTTCCCAGCCGAATAACCGGAATGGAACCAAGTTCTCGTTACACAGGCGACTTTATGGTTAACCAGATTGGAATCGCGTGCTCTCCTAGCCGAATGGCAATTTATGGCGCTGTATTGACTGCAAAATGGCCGGTCACCTGTTGAATCCTAATTTTCGTGTCGGCGGGCCAGCTACACGAAGCGGCTGAAAAATTGCAGCTGAAAGGCACCATCAGAAACGCTTTACATCGCTTATGTAGATGATCTTCCCATTCTGATCATCCTATCTGTTAAGATGCGACTGACTGGCATCGCCCTGGTGACAGAGACAGACGGCAGTGTCCGAGTCGCAGTCTGGTTAGTAGCCTGCCGACCGTGACTGAGTCTGACAGACTGACTGACGTCTGCCCTTAGGACTGATTTCGCCGGCCGACTGGGTGTCGGTGATGGAACAGCACTGCTCCCCGAACATTCCCTGGAGGACCCTGCGGGACAAGATCGTCCCCCCGCGGCCAGACGGACAGATACGCTACCTGGACACATTCAGCGAGACGGCCACCACGCCAGGAGCCAAGGTGAGGAGTTAGGGGCCCGCGTAGATACGGCCACCACGTCAAGGGCCAAGGAGAATCCAGTTACTTCACAGGCTCCTCCACCATGCGAGGTGCCGAGTTGAGGGGTTAGGGCCCCACAGATACCGCGGCACCACACCAGGGGCCAAGATGAGGAAATATAGATATAAGGAGCCAGCACCGCGCCTGTGATTATATGTAACATATTCTGTTTTATGTGCTGTTATACTCAAAATCATAGCACGGTATTCAACTGCAGTAAATTAACGCTTTTATATACTAGATTTGTGTCTCTCTTGGCCTCTTGGTCTCTGCTTCTCTCGGCAGTAAATTCCATTCGTTCGTGGTGATTCATTAACTTATTAAATCAAAACAGATTAAGGCTGCACTTCATTAAATGCAAATGTACAAGTGGTCTTTCTAATGTTGCGATTAGTTCCACGATCGCTGCCCAAAACTTATGTCGAGTTATCAGTCGCTGTAACAGCTAGCATCTTTATACGCGTATGTACAGTTAGCGCTCCAACACTTAAAACGTCGGGACCACGCGCGCCAAGAAGCGTTGTTTACGAGCTCGGGGGACTCTGATTTCAAAGCTGAGGTCGTCTTCTGCAAATGAATGCGAAATCCGAGTGGAAAACTCGCAGCTCAGTTTCTATCCATAGTGAAGCATTCGGAATACATCTCTTGAAAGAAAAAAGAACGTAAGTTTAGAAATACACAACATAAGGAATGCAAAATAAAACGTAACTTTACCTTTCTGGCATTTGCCTGTCGCTATGCATAATGTGATGGCAAACACTTCCAACAATAGAAACTTTACATTAGCGTAATAGTTAGTCATCCCAATTAGCACTATCTAGCTAAGTGACTTACGCAAACAACAAAAATGCGTCCAGAAAAGACAAGCCAGCTCTGGAATAGCTTAAAACTCGCAAGCATCGATATTTCTGCTGGTTCTTCAACCTCACAAATCTCTTTTTGAGCCCCCACGTCAATACCTATCACGGAGAAAGCCATATATTAGCTCGCCTCACGTCCTGCTGGGGCTGTTTTTACCATTTTCGCAAGGCTACTGATCTCAGCATGTTTACACCAGGAGCCTTTACGGAGTTACGGCACCTAAGGGAGGCGGGACAGAGACCCAATCAAGATCAAACTGACACCACATACGGGGTCCGATTAGTAATATACCGCTTTGAAAGGCTCTCCCATCGCTGAACTAAGGATGCACATTGCACATTTGCTCCATGTCCCAAATGAATTTCTTAATCATGATGATTTGATTCCACAGTTCCATAATTCACTTTGCCATTTTCCTTCATTTACTGATGTGGCATGATTCTTGATCTAAGCTAGGAACCTTTCATCTGAACCCGTAAATATTATCAAGGTAATTGAGCAGCTTCCCGTCACCATATTTAAGTACACCTACTAAGAACCACCCAAACAACCAACCAGCTATAGGTGCCCTGGCCTGAGCAACAGATCTATAGCCTACAAGATGTTGTCCTTTTTCAGCGAGACCGACCATCGTTTAAGCGTGACCGTTTCTCATTTCCGTGTCGTCGCGAAAGTCATTTTGAAATGTAACTAGCGGTTGGCACGAGAAATGGGCAAGAACAAAAAAGAACTGTGGAACATTTTGTCTATACCGCTGACTATTCTGACCTTGTTCGGTTCGGATAAAAGGGAGAACGTGTTTGTTGTAAGTATATCCACCATCATGGTCCCATTGCAGGCTGCTGTTTATTCCTCGCCTATTCCCGGAGCTGTTCCATCTTTTTGGCTGTCACACTAAGCGGATTCATCGACCGCACGTAAGCCTTCATATCCCGCGGGGGAAAAACATACCCTTTTCCCACCCAAATGGAAAATGATGTAGACAAAGATAAAGGCAAGGCTCAATCTTCCCCTACATTTATGAATTACTTTACTGCGCAGAAGCTCAGTAGGAGCTTTCAGTGACCTACCGCTCCCTATGCCTACATTCCCGCAAACTTGCAGCTGGCTAAAGCTGACTCATGTAGGCTAAAACTGACCCAATTGCTAGGCCGCAGTTGGGCTACAGCTAGTCCGAGCTAGACCAAAGCTAGTCCAAGCTAAACAAAAGCTGTTCCGTGCTGGCCGCAGGTGCTCAGCGCCGAGCCACAGCGACTGATCAGAGCCGAGTCACCGCGACTGCTCGTCCGCTGTCGGATAAAATGTCCCCTGGCGTGACTCCATCAGTGGACGCGTTCCGCCCGAGTCTGGTGGGACTCCCCAGTCTCCATGGCGGCAGAAGACGATACATGCACCCGTCAGACGCCCCAGTCCCCAGACAGAGACGCTATCGGAGATGTGACGTGCTGGCCTGCTCCTGCCACTCATCATATACTCGGAGAATGACACCCGAGAAGGCTGGCATCTTTGCAATGTCACATTGAGTATTAAGCGTCTTGGGATATTTCTTAAGATATTGCGTGTATCGCGCGCTTGATAAGATGGTACCTTGCATCACATACTGTAATATTGACCCACCGGCTTACGAGTAATAATGACACATCATGCCATCGCTCATCATGTATTGGATTTTTTTAGTGCGGTGTTGTTGTTATGTATTATTCATCATCAACTGTTTGCACTTCCCTTCTCACGCACACACAGCTTGATTATGTATGCATCATTCAGCGTGCGGTGGGCCACGAACAACGATCAATGGCCGGGACACCGCCAGCCCGTGTATGACGTCAGTGGGTCAGTGTGTGACGTCACCCGGGGTTCATGTGTGTGTGCCACAGGAGAGTCCGAGCGTCGTCGAGGCTCTCTATCGAAACCGGGACCGGCTGGAGACGATATTCCGCATACTCGACAAGGACCATTCAGGTAAGATTGACCTTTCAATTCGGCCATTGAGTTGGAGCTGAAAGAGTAATGCACCTGCATTCTGCAAGCTCTGATGGTTGCGATCCGACGTCGAAATACAACTTTGGAAATAAAGTGATAAATGCTAACAGTGGAGTGTAAAGTTCATGAAACAGAGTAAATAAACTTACAATAGTTCGTGTGAATTACATCCTCGCATCAAATATAAATTGATAGTAGCCAGTCTGCTATTTATCACGATTGATATTGACATTACCTGCCACATTGTCAATAGCTTGTGAGGGGCCATAATGAGTGGTATTGCACCGGTCAGTGCTTAGAGTTCAGTCGTTTGTTCTTATTTACGAGAAGGGCAAGTGCCTTCCACATGCCATCTTATATTGCCCTCCCATTCCCGTGCCGATAGGGTTTCTCTTGTTATATTCTCTTCCCTCTCCCGTGCCGTCAGGTTTTCTCTCATCATAACCCCGTCCCATTTCCGTGCCGTCAGGGTTTCTCTCTCTGGACGAGTTCGCCGACGCGTGCTCTCTGCTGCGTAACTACCTCTGCGAGCCCATCCCCTACGACGAAATGGTCAACATGGCTCGCAGTATGGACATCAACAAGGACGGCTTCATCGACTTCAACGAGTTCCTGGAGACGTTCCGTCTGGTAGACATGGACAGCGGCTATGTCACCGACGACACCTGATGCTGAGGAAGGAAGACGACGCTGAAATGATATGTGTGTGACGTCACACATTGACGTCACGAACTGAGGTTTGACGTCAGACTCACGTAGTGTGCAAAGAACTCGAGTGATGAGATACCTATGTGAACCCACGATGCCAGTTGGCTCGGATAAGTGATGACGGATGTTATCCTCTTGCATGGTGGCGACATTAGTCCGATGTTCATTGAGGGGTTTGAGGAAGATAACGCCCGTCTTTTCCAGCACAATATGACCAATGTGTGTTTAATTGTTGACCCACGTGGGCGGAGAATCTATCCTGACCGGCAAGGACCATTTCCTAGTCGATTACGGCTATTCCCGAACTGTTATATCCAGATCTCTATTGTTAGTCATTAGCGAATGTGGCTACTTGCTATTGTGTGCGTACATTAGGGTCGCATTATCCTACTTTGTCGCTTAAAGCGAAACATACAGAAGCTTTCAACGGACCCTGGGCTCGCTGCCGATGCGCTCCTCCAATGCGTTTCGCCCCATCTGATATTATTGTGGTGCGCGAGTTGTTTTTTACTGTTGGTGTTACTGATGCGCCGAGAATAAACCATTGGAAGGGCTAATTAGGTATGCAATGCCATCCAGAAACCCAATAAAATGCGAGCAGTTTGGAAGCTATTCAAGTAGAATTGCTATTGTAGAATTTAAGCAAGCTAATGAGAATGAACAAGGCGATAGCAAACAACAATTTCACGGCAACTTTTCGGAACATAATTACCTACGTTAGGCTACTCAGACATACGAGCATGTAGTGCTGGAATTCGTTTATTACTGAGTGAAGTTACCGAATTATTGCGATATCAATTATATGCGGCATACCGACATGGCCTCATTATACTCGTATGAACGGTGCTTTGGGAGTTTATCACCTCGCGCTACATTTGTACAAACGGTGTGTGCGGCTGAAATGTCCCAAGGCGGCGAAAGAGCCCTATTTTTGTGGACCACCCGCTACGATACCGCACTATAGCTTGCATGGGGTACTGAGGCACGGAACGGTAGCCTAATTCTTTCGTGTGAGGTCGGTTTTTGAATACCGTTTGGGGAGTTGAATGTCAATGGCCTGGCGCTGTTTCATGTTTACTGCGTGTGCAAAAGGCCTGTGGAATTGAGCGGTGCATATTGAGAGGAGTATTGTATCGAATGAAACCAGTCTGCTTCGCGAGCTTCTAAAGGTCGAGTGTTTTTCTCGTTGAATATTTCATCTCATTGCTGTTAATAAACATTGCTCCAGTCCTAGTCTGACGCATAATTACATGGCATCAGGCGGAAAATGAGTTAGCAGCGCGGCATGTAAAATGATTCAGCAAGGCATGGGCTGAACAACGCGGGCTTGAAACAAGATTTTGGTTTCCAAGTATTAACAGTTGATTTGTTAAAAAAAAAATAGTCAGATCACGGATTACCTTGTACCTATACCTATCTCGTGACCTGGGAATGGGCTTATCGGTAAATCTTTGGGTGCACTGTCGTTTGTCCACAGAGCAAAATAATTGATTGACTGTTGCTGATTCAATTATCTGATTGTTCAGTGTCAGAATGGGCAAAGTAATTATTTATGACGCTATGATAAGGAGATACGATTGACATGCAGGAAGTACGGAGTGTCGGGGGCACGGGGAATTACCACCGGGCCATAGGGCCAGGGAATATGGTCATATGGCCAGGGAACTCTCACATCGCTGTCTCCTCACATAGCTCACATAGCTGTCTCCATAATCTCAAGCTACTTACAAGTAAAATTTAAATGTTTTTGATGGCGTGCGCTCCCGTTGCTGCACTGGTCGGACCTCAATGTGCAGCACCGAGCCCCCTCCTTGAGCATGAGTATTGGTCCCTCCCACACCAGAAATGACCCATCGCTGACCAGAATCAACCCTTCTCAACATCCCTGGTTACCTGCCTGTCAGTGGACCAATGCCTGGCCTGACAAAGTACAAACAACTTGAGCAGCAGATGAGGCGAGGACTCACAACGCACCACATTCCCTGCAGTAGTGCTATCTGGCGGAAAACACGGACGTCGGGACGTGCCGCCTGCGACCTCTACAGGTCGATGGACCAAGCGGACGGCGCTGGTGGATCCGAACAGCGAGACAGGGGAGAGGTGGCGCTGCAACTGGGCGAGCCACACAGCGGAGGCGCCACCTGCCTCATGCCTGCCCTCGCCGCATACTGAGGCTGTATGGGAGGCAAGGGAAGACTGAAAAGCCCAGTTGAAGCCTTTAGGAAATACTTTTAGGGCAATTTACATGCTTATGACTTTTTCGCACGCACATAAAACATTGGTTGAGTTCCAAGAAGTAGATAAACATTTATAAAGTTAGAAATAGGTAGGTAACAGTTAGTTAAAAATGTTTCCTTCCTCCTGCAATGTTCCAAGTTTTATCAATGAAAACTTGGAACTCAAAAATAATAAAATAACTGCATGCATGCATTTCAATGTTGTGTATTAGAGATGTCATTCGGATACCAACCTTTTGGTATACCGATACCAAACCGATACCAACTTGGTACCTACACCTGTATTTGGTATTTCAAGGCGAGTGGATTTGGTATTTTTTGGTATATTATGAATCCTCACTAATGTAAAAGAGGCTGAGAATTTGGTATAAAGTCGGTATTTTCTTCATATTCCCAAGTCGGTTTGGTTTCGTTATTTTTCCATGGATATTGTTGGTATTTGGTTTGGTATCGGTATCTCGATTTTCCGTAATTGACATCACTATTGTGTATCGTACTAACATCAAAAGCCCTGCACATACGGTGTGGAAATTACGGCTTTGTTTGTTTCACTTTGTCGAGACGAATTAACATGTCACAGGTCACCCTATTGATTTTTGACAGCTCGTCCAGCTCGACAGCTCGACAGAGGTAGCACAAACATTTTTTCTACAATGCAGCAAGAAACACATGGCTTAAATATGACATTTCAAAACGAGACAAAACGCTGAATAAGTATGACGCCTAATACCACAGTATCATCACTAAGCCACCCTGCGCGTGAGAAGCCGCAGGCGTCCCACAGCAGCTGCTCGATTCTCCGAGAGTGTCCCGTCATCACAGATAGCAGGCGGCGGCTCGGCAGATATACCCCCAGCGCCCGTCTCCGCCATTGGCAGTCTCTGCGGTACGCCTAGTGGACCAGTCGCCAACACTTCTGCAGGAGGTACCGCGGCGGTCAGACATCGTACAACTCGCCACCTCTCCAGTCACCGCCGTCATGACGCCCTCTCTCCGTGCGCTGCTCGTCACGCTCTCACTCGCCGTCTCGGTAAGCTCGGAGGGCTGTCCCTCCGGCTGGGTGGCGTTCCGCGACAGCTGCTACTACCGCTCCACCTACACCATCGAGTGGGAGACGGCCAACGAGATATGCGCCGCCATCCAGCCGGCCGCGCGCCAGCCCTCAGTGCACGACCTGGTCACAGACGCGTTTATCGCCGAGACCCTTCTGGGCGGCGACCGCGCCTGGCTCGGGCTGAGCCGCGTGGATGGGGTCTGGAGCTGGTCGGACGGATCGGCCGACGACTGGCACTACTGGTACTGTGACCAGCCCGGCCCCACTGGTGACGCGTGCGTCATCACCAACTACGCCGGCACAGGGAAGTGGGCCACCTACCGCTGCATCGACCCGCACTACTTCTTGTGTCAGGTGGAAGCGGAGAATGTTACAGCGACGGCCGTCTAGTGAGGCTGAGGAGCAGGTGGCCCTGCATGGGTGATGGCCCACCTGATCTGAGGACTGAGACTTGCATACAATGTATTTGAGAACATCGTGCCAATACTAAAAAAGCATCTCCAAACAGAATTACCCTGATACCAAGAATGTCGTGAGCTTATGTAAAAACAGCGCGACAAATGGACTGCAGCTAGGTATTTATGCGCAATAATCAAGTGTTCGAAACCGAGCTAAAATGACAAATACACATGTAAGAAACAAAAATCAATTCTCACAACTATGGATCGCTACATCACAAAACATATGGTATGAGTCACAGGACAAAGTTGTATCGCTGGCTAGCGCTATTGTGGCGAACAGTCGCACGCTCGCTCTTCACAGGAGGCGATGGGGAGGGGGGGGGGGGGAGCAGCGCTAATGGTCCCTGGGAACCGGGCAGCTGCCGGCCGTGTGGCCTTCTCCACAATGAAGGCAGAAGGTGGCTCCGAGTGGGCCACAGCTACAGAGTGGAAACAACGGAAGCGCTGTTGACATCTGTAGTAGTGGGAAAGGCGCCGAAAATACGAAATATAGTGGTAAGTTATGATGCATCTGAAGTCTGAAAGTGGCGGTGAACATCCGAGGCGTACAAAGGGAAAATTCATTGTTGAAGCTGATTTGGCTTGACTTTGAGCATTACCTTGAAAACACCTTTCATAATCAATTTCGAACGTTTCACGTGAGCACCCAGCTTTGGAACCAGAAATGCCGTTATCCTGATAAATAGTTAATCACCATGGTAAATCATCACCATTCAAACTGAGCGGTCAGAGTAGGTCAGAACTCAGAGCCAGCATTCACTAATCAGCGCAGCGGCTAAGGCCCTAATTTGCCACTCACCAGACTGTGTGGGCGGCATTCACACACTTATGAATACATCATTTGTAAAGCTTAATGAAAGCGTCGTTTATTCAATTGCCAATGGGTTAATTGCGAACATTGCCACTAAGCAAATTGGCAAGGACAATACCTGCATTCCGACAGTTCTGACTTCTGACACGCCCCAACTTATTGAAATATTTCATCAGAAAATAGCCTCGCAAATATTTTATGACCTACATAGCCGCTTCCATCGTCCATCAAAAGATTCGTGGTTCAGAACCGATCAACTATCTATGAGAAAAAAAAAGCTTCATAAATAGCTGTCCTATACAACCTAGCTTTGACTTGTTATCACCAGGGTCAAGAAGGCAACTGAAAAGTAAAATATTGGTAGGCGGCGTCAATCTTTCGTAACTCCTTGCAGCCATTCATAAAAATAATAAGCAGTCAACATGTCAGTGACATTGGCTCGCTAAGCTGAAGAACAATGAATGAAAATAAACATTTTTATTCATAAAAATGCCACACGATCATTTGATGAGTATTGAGATCTACTGACGGTGCATTGTAATTCTGCCGGGTCAGAGTTGGCCGACGAAAGCCTGACTGCGTGGATTGTGGCGTTGGTTATTGACGGCATCATGCCGGTAATCCTTTGTTTTGACGGGAGCAGAAAAAGGCGTTCCGGCTGGCGAGATATCGAACGGCCAGATTCACACTGCTATCAGGCTAACGTGCGGATATTTTTGGTAGCCATTCACGCACAAAAAGAAGCAGCGCAGCCATTCATTTATGTCATCACAATCGATATGCAGCGCAGTTATCCCCCCCCCCCCTCCAATAGTAGTCTGTAGGCCAACTCGGCCCGTTCACCCACGCTCTCTCAGCCGATACCTATGCAGCATAACCATCCCCCGAACAAACTCCCGCCCATACGGCCCATGCACTATCACCGACCTTCGAGCCTCATCTGCCGCCGATCTCGGCTCGACGATCGCGTGGCGGCCGCCCTCTATCTCCCTACAGCCGGGCCAATCGGGCAAAACGAGCGGAAAGTGCGTCCATCGGCGCCGACGGTCGGGTTGGACGGGGGCGGCCGAGCGTGAGCCCCCCGGCACGGCCGTTTGAACGCCCCGCGACCTCCGTCGCGTCGGCCGTGCTCTGTGACGATCTGGCGGTGCGGCGCTGGTGACGCGGAAGCGACGAACGCCGTCGGGAAATCACTATGCATTGGTGGAGTCAGAGGACGACTGCAGTGACGCAGTGACGCTCAGCAGTGACGACTGCACCGGGGAGGGACTCGACTGATCTCGAAGGTCCCGGGTGTCTCACAAAGGCGCTGACATTTGGGACTGCTGAGTGCTGACTGGGACACAGTTGGGCGTATTGTTTGGACGGATCGGTACCTATGCTATCAGCTATTAACAGCCATACACATTACACATTGCACAATGTGCATCGCAAATTTAGAGAATTTTCATTGCTCCGATGAGTGGAAGATCAGGATCTTCTTGAAAATCTGTGAACTGTGAATCGTACCAATGCCCAATTTCTGAATGAATATATTCCTTTTCTGTCAAGTATCATGTAAAATACAAAGCTATACACTCAAAACTTTTTTACTACCTCCTGGAGAGTTCATTTTCATCAAACCCGCAAGATAATAGTATATTGAAAGGGTAACTCGCTGCTACCAT